TGGGTTTGAAGAAAGAATGGCCACCAACAGAGGCATTATACTGGATGGGCTCAGGCTTTGACCGAGCGTGTGACTTTGGATCTGTCACCTGACTTTGTCTTCAGCCTCTCTGGTGCACAGTGGTAGCACCCAGAGAGTCATCAATACCTAGTTGAAAGTTATTAAATAGGTGCAGTGCCTTATTTCTTGCACTAGGAAGCCAAATCCTTCACTTCTTGCTTTGCTTGCTTTTCCTGTAGAAAACACCTTGGTAGAGAGTCCAACATGGGCCAGAGTCTTGTGTACTTTATACAGGTAAGACCTGTCCTCTGCTCGATCTTAAGAGCTTGCCTCTGTTTTCACAGCTTTGGCAAGGAGCACCGATTCTACCTAGTGTGAATGCACTGTTTGTTTTCCTTCTCTTTCAGTTTGCCATTGGAAAAGTCCATTAGTGCTGAATGACATGACTAAACAGTGAGGGATAGGACAGTTGGTGTGTTAATAACTCTTAAGTAAATACCATTTGTTATTGTCACCACTGAGGCTTTCAGAGCAGTGGCACCATTCCTGATCCTGCACTGTCTCATTGGCTCTGTCTTCTAGCAACCCAGAAAGACAGGTTTGGAGAGGGAAGGAATCTGAAAGGGTGGGTGAGCAAGAAGGAGGAAGGATATGGGAATGAAACAGGGACTCTGAAAGACACAGAGACAGCAAAAGAAAGGCAGTCACGCACACACACACACACACACACACACACACACACAATGAAGCAGAGGAGAGAAGGCAAAGAGCTAATAATCCATCTTCTACCAGATTTCACAGTCTCTTGTGCTTCTTTCTCAGAAATGCTGGCACCTGTAAATTCATTAGCTGCTCTTTCTTGGTCCCTCTGGTCCCACATTTGCTCTTGCATCAATATCTGGGATGCGCAACCTCCCTGACCTGCTGTGACCCCAGAGGGGAGATGATGCTGTCTGTATTAGCGCAATCAACATAAGAAGTTTTCATGGTATCACCATGGAGGCTGAGAGGACAGAGGGCCTTCCCTGGAGATGACTCAGTTTTGGGGGTGGTATTCTCTTGTGATCACGGGGAGGCAGTCACAGCCAAGAAGATAAACATTTGAATGGAAGCATTTATGAATAGGGAAACAGATAAACTGGCTTCTCTTCCTAGCTAAGAAAAACTGACCTTGAGTCTGACTCCTATGGAAAGTATTTATGTCAAATGAGTGTTCAGATCTGGAGCTATGCTTTTGAGGATATCAGATGGTTTTTTTTTTAATTTCACTCCCTTGCTAGTAATGCTCAGATATGATTTTAACCCAGGATACATGACTTGAAGACAATGTTGGCTGGATACTATTGCCTTCGTAGGCTGGACACTCACAATACCTCTCAATGGGTCATATAAATTCTTTTTTTTTTTTTTTTTTTTTTTTTTTTTTTAGGATTGAACACGGGTCCTTGCACTTGCAAGGCAGGCCACCGAACCACTGAGCTAAATCCCCGGCCCTGGTCATATAAATTCTGAAATGAGTCCCTTACTTCATTCAGGGCACAACATTCTCACAATGCTTTCAAAGAGAGACAATAGAGCATCATGATTAAGTCCTTAACTCTGAAGTCTGCCAGGGAGAGACTCAAATCTCAGCTCTACCACATACCAGGGAAATCTCAGACCAGATCATTGCCTTCCTAAGCCTCAGTTTCCTCACCTGTGAAGTGGAATTAAGAGTAGAACCTTTATCTGGGGGTTAAAATATAATAGGAAAATTCTTAGCACAATACCTATATGTATAACTCCTCCATAAAATATAGAATGATCAGACATTAAAGTCTGTTCACTTGATTCTCATGCCACTACTGGGAAATAGGTGTATGTTTCCATTTAATAAAGAAATTAAGGAATAGAGAACTGACAGGCCCACAATCTTCAGGCATTTAAAGTTGAAGTCAAGGTCAGAAAGAAAACAGCAAGGGCCTCCATTATGAGGCTGGGCTTTCAAGAGACTAAGCTGTAACAGAAAGAAAAGAAGAAGGATAAGGATTTGGTCTCAGGGAACAAGCGCCATTAAAGGGATGAAAAGACTAAGAACCGGAGAATAGCAGAAAAGCAAGAATTTCACTGTTTCAGAAAATAAGGGAGGGAGATCTTTTCTCAAAATGCAAGAGAAAAGTGCTCACCGGGATCAAAAATCATAAAATTGAAGTAAATGCCTCACAATTTAAAAATAAGAAGACCCTTCATTTGTTTATTCAACAAATATTGACAGGGTCAGGTGCATATGTGAGGCACATCCTAGTTCTAGGAATGTGCTGGCAAAATGAGAATGCATACCCTAGCTGGGAAAGTAAATAGTATAAAATAAACTAATAAACGAAAAATATAATTTGAGAGGCTGTATCTTCTGAGGAGACAAAAAGTGGACACTATAGTAAGAATATGATCTGGATAGGTGGGCTGCTGAAGCAACTGTGATGAGGAAAGTACACATTTTAAAACTGAGACCAGAAGAAGCCAGACACATGGAGCTCAAAAGAAAGGACATTGCGGGTGGTGAGAGCAGGCCAAGCGAAGTCCCTGAGGCAGGAATGAGAGTTTTCTTTGACTTTCAGAAGGGCATTGTCGATGACTTCATGTCAACAAAGGCCAGACTGTGGTAGCTAATAGAAAAAAAAACCTGACTTATAAAGAAATAGAAAGCCTAAGGTAAGCTACAAGAAGTTGTCTTTGAAAAGATAGAAGATAGCGGTCTTGGTGTCCTCTGGAGCAGACAATGAGCACTGGTGGCCGCACTTATTTAGAAGACGTCTCATTCCCCTTCCCTTGAAGGATTTGCCTTCAGTGCCAACATTCACAGCCAGAAAGCCATATTTATGATATCCATAGTAATAACTATAAGGTGTTTATAGGTCAGAATAATCAAATCCTCCCACTCTAAATCTCCACTGACAGCATCAAACTTGTTTGTTCTGGAAGACACTGTCATCATTCCCGCAAACACAGGACATTTGCTTCACATATTTTTTGTTTATTCTCTACAATTCGGGGTCACCCTTGATTTCTAAGGCTCCCCAGATCTTGTATTGCTGGTTAGTTTTGCTCACTATAGTGTCCACTCTCACCCCCACCATCCTGGGTCAGATCGTAGAGCAACTTGATCCAATGGAATTTTCTCCAATGATGGAAATGTTCTACATCTGTGTCATCCAATGCAGTAACCATCCACTGTATGTGGCCACTCAGCACTGAAAAATGGATTTTCCGATTAAAGAATGAAATGTTTAATTTTTAAAATTTTAATTAATATGAACTTAAATAGTCACATATGGCTGGAGCCTATAGTTTTGGAGAGTTTGGGAGTTAAAATTCAAGAAGGTTCATTGTGTCCAGTCACTTTGCAGGTTCTTTGTAATTACTGAGACATACAACAACACAAATAATTAATGCCCAGGCTAGTGAATGAGGAAATTTCTTCTTAAGGAGAAAAAAATGGAATATATTGAAAATCAGCTAAGCTTAATATACAGGACTATTACCAGCATACTTATTTGGCCCAAACATGGACATACCGCCTCTCCAACGTCTGAGACTGTTGTTTCTCAAGTATGTTCTAATGAATGTTCATTTCACGAATTCTTTGATGGAAAAGATCCTTCATAACATAGGCTTGGTAAATTGAGCACAACTTTGCTTTTCTTTGTATATTTACAATGTACATCATCATTATTAAGCCTCTGAGACATCCTATGGAGTGTAGCTCTGAAAACATTGGTCAGTTTAGTAGTTCTCTAACATGTTTCATCACAGAAATCCCTGGATTTGTGGTGTATACAACAGGGGTGGGGGGCATGAGAGGAACTAGAGAAATACTAAGGTAGAGCAGGCACTTCGTGGGTGCAGGAAGAGAGACTTGGATAATCAATGCCAGATCTACTACTCAGCTGTGTGATCTTGAGAAAGTCACTGAACCTTTCTGACCTTCATTTCCTTCATTGGAGAATTAGGGATTATATCTACATCACAGGATTGCATGAGGATTAAATGCAATAGGATGTACAGAAAAACATATTGTAGCTCTTGAGACCAAGGGAATCTTCTCAAAATGATTAGGTACTATTATTCTTATTTTCTTCATCATTTATAAAGTTAAGTGACTAAATGACAAACTCTGGGTCTAGGGGGAATTGTATTCTGAACTATCCAAGCCCACTTACTGCCTGAAAATATTTTTTTTAAATGTTGTACTGGAAATCTTGATGAGAAAGAGATCTTTTCTAATTCTCTTTACTTATCCTTAGTAAGATGTAAAACAAACATTGACTGTCTTCCTGCAATCCATCCTCAGTACAATAACCAGAGAGACCCTTTTGAGCCAGAAATTAGAGTACATCATCCCTCTAGGCTTCCCCATCTCATGCAAAGGGAAAGCTAGACCTTCGTAAAGGCCACTAAGCTCTATGTGATCATAGCGGCCAGTGTTACTCTTTTATCATTTCCTAACATTGCTATTCTTGCAAACACATATTCTTGCTGTTGCTTAGACAAGTCAGGAAGTTTGAACTTGCTGGTGCCCCTGGTATGGATCACTCCCCAGTTATGTGCAAGGCTCCCTTCCTCACATCCTTCAGCCCTGTGCTGAGACGTTTCCTCTTGAATCCTACCTAAACTTGGCAGTACACCCTTTCGTGCTCCAGCACTCTCTATGTCTCTTCCTTGTTCTACATTTCTTTACTACACAGCAATATGCCGTGTTTTGCCTTTGTCTATTTCTACCCAGTAAAACATAAATTTATCTCTTTCATTCTGTACCATAACTCAATGCCTAGAACAGTGCCTGGCACAAGTAATATGCTTGATAAATGCTTGTCGGGTAAATGAATGTGGAAGCCATGTATGTTCTGTTGCTGTGGCTGTGTACCTTTTCTCTAAGCCCAGTTCTGGGTGGTTTGGTGAAGAATGAAGCACATTTATACCGGTTGGTTTCTGTGTTTTTTATTAGTGTTTTTAAGGGTGCCCATCAAACAAACAAAACAAACCCCCAAATTTTGAAAAATATAATTCTCTAATAAAATAGGAATACTTGGTTAAAATTTAACATAGTTTAAAGGGAAAGATTTCTAATTTTTTTAAAACAATAAAAGCAGTAGGGTTGCTTTCCACAAACTGTCAACCCAGAAACCAGATGGCAAGAAAAGCAAGAACTATGCAGATAGCTACAGTAAGATTAATCCCAATTTAATTCAACTTGTGAAGGCCTGGCACGTTTCAAAGCTTTATAAGACAAAGTCTCAATGGCTTTTTTTCTCTTTTTCTCTTTCAGTGTTGTCTTATTCCAGAAACCAAATCCTGAGAACCAAAGTTGAGGGTAATTTTGTTCTGATATTGTGAGTACTGTAATGTTCTTCCATTGAGGGGCACACATGGAGGATCTGCTATACTCTACACAATTAGACAAGCTCCTCACATATAGTAGGCACTCACCAAATGGTTTTTTTAAAAAAACTAGAATAATATAATTGTCTCTCTTGATGCTTTACCTTTTCTTATATTTTATACATCTGAAAACAACACACTTGCAAAACTAAAATCTAACATGCATTGCTAACCTTGTCAAAAGATCCCTCAGTACTTCTCAAAAAGAAAAAACAAAATAAAAACCAACCCAAAAATGCTAAAACTTAGAACTGTTTTATGCTTAAATAGCAATTTACATCATATAAACACGTTCATAATCTTCATTGGTTAAAATAGGTCAAGGAGTTAATTACTAGCGCCTTGTACCAGAGAAGTCTCACAGTTCCAAGTAAGGTGACAGAATTCTCCAACACGCGCTGACTTGTGGAACCGAACAGCTTTGGGTTTCACTTCTGCGCTGGTAGAAAGATGAAGTAAAAAGTCTCACAGTAAAATGTTTACGACAGATAATATGTCCTGGAAGATACGGCTGTAGTGCTCTTATTCCAGAGAAGAAATGATTCGCATTCCAATTATTGATACAGCCTTCCAGAGAAGTCTTCTAGAAGGCATTCATGCATTCATTCATTCATCCAACAAATATTTACTTTCCTGCGTCATGCCACGTACCAGGCAAGCAGTAGTGATGGGACATGGTCCTTGCCCTCAAACAGCTTACAGTCTAGTGAGACAAGAACTTTGAGGAAGGATCAGTGTATTCGGAGGAAAGCTCACAACTTGGGTCTGCCCTTCTCAATGGCACCTTCCAGAAACTGTGCGTTCTGGGAGCCAGGACCTGAGTTTGATCCCCGGTACCAAAAAACAACAACAACAACAACAACAACAAAAAGGCTCATTAGAAAGGAGAAGGGAGGAGTTGGACTTAAGGAGGTTCCAGGAGACTGTGTTTAGTGACTAGATGGACACCGATCACGGATGAACTTCTCAAGTGAAAAGCTGTGTGTCCCCCAAACAATGGGACATTCCTCAGCAAGACTTTGTATTCCCCTTTCAACACTAGTAGGAACTACTCTGTTCACACCCCAGGTTGGCATGTCTCAATTACCTGGAGCTCTCCAAGTCACGAATGGCACATAGAAAAGGCAGCAAAGTCAGGCCAAGACAAGAGACAGGTACACGAGAACTTAATACTGCAGCCCTAGTTAAATAGGTGCCAGGTGCCAATAACCTGCCACTTTCAGAAACTAGCACAATTTGCTGCTTATCTGTAGAACTGTTCTCCGTAGTGCTCCCCAGATTTACCTACTCCCTGGCAAAGGCAGTACATCAAAGGAAAGGTAGCAGAAAGAGTCAAAGCCCGTTAAACTTCTAGGTTTGAGGAAGGGTAAGCATGAGGAAGATCTAGATAGTGGTGATGATGAAAAGGCAAAGCCAGGAAAAGAACAGCAAAGAATTGGAAGGCGCCCTTGATACCCTCACATAGTTCGGACACACATGGACACGCAAGTATCTGTGTGTTACACACGTGACCAAATGGTGGGAAAGCACTCAGATTCTTGAAAAATTGGGTATCTTTATGCAGAAATAATCTGAATTGCATAGTCAAGATCTTTGCTGCTCACTGTTTTTTTTTTTCCTCAGTCCTCTCAATAATTGTTACTTGTTAATAAAAGCTGTGTGGAGGTGACCAAGCAAGGCAGAAATGAAACTAATTTGGTTATATTTTCAGAAGGTAGATTATGGGTGCTCCAAGATCACCACTCGTAATGGTCCTCATTATAAGTAGAATGAATTCTTAATTCTTCTTGCTTCCAGCCTTCTAAACACATGCAATTACTTAGCAACCAGTGAGTATGAATTGCTCACCTTCACTGGGTAAGACTCAGTAACAGGGGCTCTATTGGCTGATAGAGAGCACTGCTTCCTACTAATATGAGTCTTTCTTCCATATAATTGCTAAAGACAGACAGGCGGGGTGAAGGAGAAAGTCAGTAACATGAAGAAGCCAAAAAGAAAAGTCTCAAAAAGAAATCTAGACGTTCAATTTTCAAATTGTCTACAGATTTTTCATTCCTGGATTTCATGGCCCAGTAAGTCAAGTATTCCAGAACAATCCCAGTATTAGGGAAGAAGCTCCCAATGCCTTACCCCTGAGCTGAATTTTCTGTTTGTCTTTTCTCGCCTCCCTGCCTTTAATTTCTATCTTGTTTTTAGACTTTCCTCTGAATGCAAGTCTCAGCAATAAACCATTCACTTTGAGATGTGTTCAGATGAGACAGAGATGACTCAAAGACAGAAGACTGTAATAATACATGCAAATAGAGTTTTCCCTGGATTGCTCTTGTCCCTCTCTCTCTCTCTCTCTCTCTCTCTCTCTCTCTCTCTCTCTGTCTCTCTCTCTCTCCCTCCCCCCTCTCCTTTTAAGCTTTTTTCACCAACAATTCTAGGAGAAAGGAAGAACAGGTGAATCATTCCTGAATAAATAAAAAGTCCCCCACCATTATTCTTACTGATTTGAGCATTTCAAGTCACATGATTATGCAGGGATCACAGCCTACCCTGATTTTGGAAATCCCCTTTCTCCATGCCTTGGCACCTAGATATCAAGCTTTCCAGCATCTTCTGGTTTATCCCATCCATGTGAGACCCCAAACTCCATCCCAACAGCCATGTCCATCTCTCTTGATGAGGTCATGTGAGTGCTTATGTGGGAAGGACACAGTGTCTTTTCCTAAATCATTTTGCGTATGAAAATATTTAATGCCCTCTGAATTTTTTTCTTTCTCTTAGCAAGGCAACAAGCCCTGTTATTCTTATAGGAAAAAAAAAGCTTCACAATAGAGGCAAAAAATAAATCAGGACCACATACAGCATCATATTTCACAGAAAACTGTGTACATCTGTTCTCCGTATAGGACATACTTCAAAGTAACAAAAAAAAAATTATTTTATCAACTGTAGTGCTCCTTCTTGACATTAGAAGTAGATTTTTCTCCCTGGCGGTACATAAACATCACAGAAAAGTTGTCTTTGAAATATGTACGCCCAGGAGTCCTTTGCTGGCTGTTGTTTATTTGGTGTGTGTTTTGGTTTGTGTTCCCAACGGTGGTAGCCTCAGTTGTCATTTTCTCTCCACCCACGAGCATTCTTCCCAAATTTATACACCAGCCTGCGTCCATCCACCCGTTCCAGAATTTCTCTTTTGTAGTAATATCTGTAATGAAGAAAAGTCCATAAGGTGGCTGTTCAGACAACTGCCAGGGAAACAGCTGGTCCTGTGGCCTTATCATCTGGAGAAACATGAAACTGCTTACCTCATGGCCCGGCTGAGCTTCTCATACGTCATGCTGCTGTTGTTTTTCTTTTTTCCCCATAGCTGAGCCACGGCTTCTGATTTCAAGAACCTGAAGATGCCCTCAGACCGGTCTTCCCACTTGATTAACCCTGGGTTCTTGTCTGGGTTCAGCAGAATATCACGGATAAATTCCCACAAATGAGTCCCTCTCGGGTCTGTCAGGAAGAAGAAAATGAAGCTTATTTTGTCCTATACCACAGCAAAGAAAGGTCAGAGAGAGCGTTGAGTCATAATTTCTCCCTTCAAGTGGGAGATATTCTCTTCTCCCCTATTGGACAGGGAACAGATCACAGAATCACCAAAGATTGTCCATTAGAAAAAGCATTTGAGAATGAACGATTAACACAATGTTTTATTTTATATATCACGAAACTGAGACACAGAATTTAAGTGATTGGACCAAGATCCCAGAGTCAAGTGCTGGCAAAGCCAAAACTAAGGAACAGGTTGTGGGTTTCTTAAGCCAGAGCAGTTTCTTCTAATTATTATTCACAACCTGCTTATGCTTTATTTCAACACAGTTTTTTCCCAGAAGCACTTTCGACCACTTTTGTCTAGTACTTCACCCAATTAAATAACTCCAATCCAAAGGTAAATCAATGTGGCTGTAGAATATGTAAAACTACTAGAACATATTGGGGAGGTGGATAGCACGCCGAAGTTGGGGGTGCCAATTTGAAATGAAGCAGGCATCGCAGTGAAGTTACCAACCAAATTCAACTTTACTCTCACTGAATTTGTGACACCTTCCCCTCCCACACACCATCCAAGGGATTATGCTAATTTGCTTTCATGGGGTGACCTAGAAAAGCAGATGAAATGGGCGCTCTAATTCTCTATAATTTCTAGGTGATGCCATCTTCATTCCTCTCTATGGCTTCTCAATACTGTCTCTTATCTCACGTATATTCACAAGGCTTTATCACTGGGGGCAATCCAACTCCCAAAGAGCACTACAAAAATCTTAGAACAAACAGTCATTTCTTGAAACAAGAACCCCAGAAAGGTAGGAGGGCATCATTTAGCCAAAGAAAGACTGAGGTGACTCCATTGTTTCTTCCCGTCTCCCTCCTCCTCTTCCCGCCTTTCTTATTCTGGGAGAGAGAAAATCTCTAACCCGCTGCCTGCAAGAAGCTCTTTTGCACTGGGGCTCTGACTTTAGAATAAATATGATGGAATGAGAAAGAAAGAGCCAGAGGCTCCCACTTTGAGAAACAGCTGCACACTTCCTACCTCCATTTCTTTGCAGCTCATGATGAAATATGATTAACCATCAACTGAGGCCTCTACTTTCTCTCCCAGTCTGGAGTGAAGAAGCAGAGATAGTAGGCAGAGGCAATCTTTGCCTGAAAACTGGAGGCCTCCAGTTATAACCAACATGAAGCAAAACACCAAAGGGCATTTGAAAGCCAGGTGACTTACTGTGCTTTTTGGTGTGGGACTTTGTAGGGTGGTCTGTCTCCTTTTTCATATCAGGTGACTCTGCTAAAGAGAAAAATGAGAGCTATTTAGTTTATCTATTTCTTACAATTATCATTTTTATTCATGCATCTACCCCCTTAACCAATATTTATTGAGCACCTACTGCTTGCCTGGCACTGTTTGAGTCCATGATAATGAACCACACAAAACAAATGGTAAGTGCTGAGGAGCAAAATAATGCAGGGTAAGAAATGGGAATAGACATAAGGAGTTGAAAATAGTTTGCAATTTCATTCAAGGTATTAACATCATGCTTCTCTGATAAAGGGACCAAGGGGATGTGAGGGAGCTGGCCATGCAGAGAGCTTGTAGAAAAGCCTCTCATGGATGAGGACGTTAAGTGCAAAGGCCCTAAGGTTGATGTGTGTGTATATGTACACAAAACTGAAAGAAGCCAGGTTAGTCATGGGCAAGAGGCAGATGAGGCGATGAGGTTACCATCATTAATGCCTTGCAAGGCTTTTAAATGATATCTCTGAGAGAGATAGGAAGCCATTGAAAGATTTAGGTCCTTAGACTTTTTTTCCATAATCCAAAAATGTAAACATTTACAACAAAGAAAGATGGCTCTTAAAGCAGAGAAATGGCCTTTTTCGGGCGTGCAAAGTTTTCTTTTATTTACCCTGGCAAAGGGGCCTTTGAATGGCCTGAAGACAGTGCAGAGAGCCGCGGTCAGCCATGGAAACAGATTATTTTCACAGATGACTCAACTATTGCCAAAGCAGAGGTAACAGAGGCAGACCTCGGAAGTAAAACTTCTTGTTTAAAAGAAATGCCACGTTTCCCTCTGTATGTGGAAGGTTTCAAATCTTACACAAGCAGAGATTAGAATGGTGAGCACTAAAAATTAGGAAGAGGGAGGGAGAAGCTGGATAATGGGTAGAAAAATGTAGTTAGATAGGAGTAATAAATTTCAGTGTCTACAGCATAACAGTATGACTATAGTTTACAGCAATGTATTATCTATTTCATAATGAACTAAAGGAAAGGGACCCCAAGCTTCTGAACACAAAGAAATGGTGACTGGAGAAGAGAAAGAAATGTAAACTTACCTGAATTGGTTATCACACATTGTGTGCATGTCTCAAATTCTCACACTGTACCCCATAGGTTAGAGACACAGCTTATCTGCGTGTGTGCCTGTTTCAGAGGGTAGTGTGGGTGTTGTGAGAATGCAAATAGATGTTACCCCAATAAAATCCCATAATGGAAAACCAATCATAATACATAGCAGTGCCCCAATACAAGCCAATGCTTTTATGAATTTGACCCATTCCTCCTGTCTCTTTCCTGTGCATTCCCTCAGGGCTCCCTCCTCTAGGGCTCACTGACCCCCGTGTGGCTTCTAGGACACGTGGACTGACTAAACTTCATGCAAAGGGAGAGTCAACAGTAGTCATTCAATTTTTCCAAAAAAGTTTATAAGTCAGCCACTATGGAAATCAACATGGAAATTCCTCAAGAAACTAAAAATAGAAATGCCATGTGACCCAGCTCTACCTCTTCTAGGTATCTTCCTGCAAGAGATAAAGACACAGTACAGCATTTATAAACATGTTTACCCATGTTTATAGCAGCATATGTCATAAGAGCTAATCTTAGAAGCTGCCTATCTGCCCATCAACAGACGCACGGATAAAGAAAAGGTGGTATTTGTAACAATGGAGTATGCTCAGTCATAAAGAAGGTAAATGTGAATCATTTGTAAGAAGGATGCCATAGTACCAGGTGGAATAAATCACACACAGAAGGTTAAATATCTCTGAGTTTGTCTTTTGTGAGAAATCCAAAGTACAAAATTTTAAAGAGCCAAATAAAATAGATGATAGGACACAGGGCTCTAGACTTTGTGGAGGTGGGAAGAAGATTTGGAGATGGAAGGAGAAGGAGGGGACGTGGAAGTAAAAAGGATCAAGATGTGATCTGCATATTCACCAGTTCCTCACAATAAATGTATTTCATAGGTTCCAAAAATATACACGAATAAAAAGTTTCTAAAGTTTATAAACCGCTGAGCACTCACTTCTAATTAAAATAGTCAGGAAGAGCAGCTACTGTTTATTGAGTACCTACTAAGCACCAAGCCTATAGTAAGCACTGTACACAAATCACCTTGCATAATTTACAGAACAACCTGAAGAGATGGTTATTATATATTAGGTATTACGGTCTTCAGTTTACAGCTGTGGCAGATCTGAGACACACAGAGCTCAGATGACTTTACGACAGTCACAGAGCCCGAAAGTGAAGCCAGGACCTGAAGACAGTACTGTGCACCCAGAGTCTTCATTCATAACCACTTTTCTGTGCCATTTCCAAAGCCTGTGCTCAATCACCTTAGCACATAGCTGATTACACAGAAGTCTTCCCGACCGAGAGTCAGATTCATTTCTGCACTGCTTTCATTAGTGGAGAAATAATTCTGATCTAACGATTCTGTGTTTCCCAGTGTACATGGCCTCACTCGTCTGTCGGATTATCCAGCTGGTCACGACTCAGTTCTACCAGCAGTTTCTCTCAAAGCCATTGCAAGATGGAGAAGGGGGCTTGAATAAGAGCTGGACGAGAGAAAACCTCCTCGTTCTGGTTAAGAATCTCTCTCCCAGCATTGTAACCAGGAGGACCTGCACCTGACTTGGATTTCTCTGAAATCTGGAAGGACAAATTCACAGGAAATGAGAGGAGACTTCCCTCGCCTGCCTGTACATTATAAGGCAAAGTTGCAACATCCCATCAGGATGTGACAATATTGCGACAGATCTGGCACCCACCCCGGTTTCCAAGTGATGCATCACCCTGACAGGGCCACGTTGTTCTACAGACAAAGAGTGGCATTTACCCAGCAGGCCGCAAGCAAAGCTCATTTTCAAATGGCATCCAGGCTGGTATGGGGCCATTATTTCCCAGCCAGGCTTGAATTCAGAAAATCCTGAGTGTCCCTTAGTACATTGTCTTCATTGTGAATTCCAGCTTAATGTGGAATGAATCACTGTGGGGTTGAGGTACCTCTGTGAATAAGGTAAAAGCAAAACAAACAAAACAACAACAACAACAACAAAAAAACCTTGGCCGCTCTCCTCAGAAAAAGGCATGTATGTGTTCACTTGTGGAATTCTGTCACAATTTGAAGAGTTGATAGCCCATCCAAGAGTTCATAGACTCTAGATTAGTCTAGTTCCCAGACTAGGTAGACTATGCAAAAATTTCTCTGTAGGATAGCGATCATTTACCCAACCTAGTACTCCATCTAGCTTATGAAAAGATTTTTTTAAATCCTGCTTGAGAAAAGATGTAAAAATAATAACAATAATAATAATAATAATACCATAAAAATGTTCCCATCATCATATGGGGCAGTAAGCAACCAAAGGCAAAGAAAATATCTAATTTCTTCCAGTCCCCCACTTCCTGTTCCAATCCACAGAATCACCGAGCTGCCTTGGCACTAAAATCTTTTGATCTACAACTTTAATACAACCAGCCTCTCCCCCTCTCTCCTCCCCACTGCCAAAAAATAAAAGTCAAGGCCTTTGAAGTTAGCCGTGTGGTCAAGTGACTCATTGTTATAAAATAATGGCTCGCCCTGATTGTCCAGCCTGGCTTTCTCTCTCTCCCCTCCCAGGCACTCAGGGCCAAGGTCCGCAGGGTCCAGGTAGGAGCATGACAAGGCACAAGTTCATGATGCAAGTGTGAGAGCATGACTTCAGCTAAATTGCTTCGCAAGAAGCAAAGATTAGAAATATTTACATATGATTCAGCTGCGAGCCATTTCTTTACGGGATATACAAATTTCAGTGTTCTAATAGACCGTGCCACCCTAGCTTTAGGCTCGACAAGTCAGTAGATAAACACATCAAGCCTGCGTTGGCATAAGTGGCTGCAGGACTATCGAACAGATCAGAACACTTGCGGCAGCCATTTTACAAAAATGGGAAGATGACAGAGAAATCCAAACAAAGCCGCTTCCCCACCTGCCTTATCACAGAGACCATCAGTTTAGGCAAGCCCCACCTTACCTCCGCTTAAACTTGCACTGAAACTTAGACGGATGTGTATTTAACGGCACTCAATTTATGGGCGCTTGAAATGTGAAAGACTCAGGCAGGTAGCAAAGGTCTTTTTAGGGGATGCTGGTTCCATGCAGTACAGACAAGCGGGGAGGAGATGAAGATGAAGAAGCTAGCGAGCAGCAAATTAATAAACCCCATTTTAACCAGAACTATCAGAAAATATTGGACAGGTGGACTCAGAAGCTAATGAGTTCCCTTTTCCCACAAGCATGCAAGCAGAGACCGGCCCCTCAGGCCCCTGTTGTTGCTGAGATTCTAGAAAGTCTAAGTCAAGACACAGAAAGGGGAAGGAAGACCTGGCTGCAGAGCACTGACTGTTAGGAAAAGCTCCACAGAAGCCTCCAGTCCTAAAAACCCTCGAGGCTCAGGAAGTGGTTAGTTCACTTCATTCTTCATTGGAATCTTTTGCTATAAGTCAGAGACCCAACCGGAAGGACAGAGAGGTGACACCTTAGGAAGTGTGAGAGGAAATCAGAGGGTGCCTTGGGTGGTTTCCTCAGCCCTGAAGCCTTCAGTCCTGACTGTGGTAGTGATTACCACAGAAATTGTACCCTGGCAGGCTGTTCCTCCAGGGTTGCACCTTAGAGACTTTCCACTGTTTGAGTTGCTTCCTCATTTCAACAAATAACTGCACCTTGGAGTGACACCTAATGCTAAGGGCTGTGGAGGGAGGGGGAGCAAAGAGATGAATGGGCTCTGGTGTCAGCCTCAGTTCCAGAGGCATTTACACTGGCTCCCAGCCACGTCTCATCTGAGGGGCTGGACCCGAACAAAACCTCAAACCAAAAGCTTTCGTTATTTCACGTCTTAAAAATACACACTCAAGAAAAGCAAAAAATAAAAAATGAAAAGAGGAAGGGTTGTTATTTAATCCCCTTATTCAATCCCAGTTCTGATGTTGTCCCAAATTCAATTCCTGGAGAAAGGCATTTCCTGTGCAACTGACATCTAAGTTCTAGGTCATAGACCCAAAGAGATCCATAAGTTTGCGTCCAGGTCAAGGAAAGTACATCTTCTACATACGTCATTCCTACACTGTCCTTGCTAATTCATCCACCTGTAAGGGAGTGTCATCTGAAAGCCCCTCTCCCAGATTCCTAGTTAGCAAGCTCTCTCACTGGTATAAACTTGACTAGGAGTCAGGAATCCAATCTTCACAAAATGTAAGCAGTGAGAACGTAATTCATAGAGCACAGGTGTTCCGATTAAAGAGAATCAATGAGCCATCAGACTTAGACTTAAAAACTAAGAAAGTAACATGGCTATGAGGGTTCTAAATAATTTCCCATGGTTACTTCTCTACCCACAGGCCATCATCAAAGATTCATGACCCCTGAATTCCACTGGTAGACTTTATTTCTCTAAAGCCAAATGTAGTTGGAAATTAATGTTCAGATGCAGGTAAAAATTAAATATAGCCCTCTCTTCTCCCATATATATATAAATAATTTTGTTCAGATATATCCCAAGAGCAAACTTTTGCTGAAAAAAGAGGAAAATATAAGCAAAATATGTTGTCACAAGATAGTAACTAGTTTCATAAGAGAGGAACACTTCTAGAAGAATCCCCTACTGGCCATCTTTGATGGGTAAATATTGACTCAAAAGAACACCTATTCATACAAATGATAACTCAATTCCTTTTTTAGCCTTGTAATGAGAAAGACTCTAGCAAAGCAGAAATGTGGGATGTTGGTAATTCTCATTAATTCTCACTAATCACACACTTGCATTAGTCACATTTAACCTTTGCTGACAGGACAACTCACCAACAGGAAGGTGACCAGTGGTGGTCATGGAGATCTGGGCCCGGCAGAAAGTTTTGCTGTCCAATAGATCTGTAGCAATGAAAGCATAAAAGTCGTGAAAAGCTCCCTCCTTACCGTATCACATGGTGGCTGTGGGATGGTCAGAGCAAGAGTGGAAAAGGGTCTTCCACGTTGGGGAGTTAGTTACCTACTGTGCTACCATAGGTGGTGTCGTATAAATAGTTTTCTTCTTTCCAGGTGTTCATAATGGAAGGGTCTACAAAGAATAGAAAATGGAGATGGTCAATGATCATTATCCCCAAGATGAAAAATCTATCTCTTGTAAGTCCCTGCTCATCAAAACTCGTGAGGGCAGGTGGTGGCCCTGAGAGAGAAGGGATGATGTTCTGCCTCAGCTGCATGTGACTCCTTGCTCTTCCCATGTTGTGGAGGCCGTGGCGTTGTTATGCTCCTGCCTACGTCATCCATACCTGTTGCGTTTGGGAAGTGAGAGGAGCCGCTATAATGGAATCTTGTCTAATTTTTCCAGTCTTGTCTAACACTCTGCTATATAATAACCAGAATATTTTTACCTTGGAGTGGAGGGATGTGCTTGCTAGAGGCAAATAAATGTGTGATAAATGGTTAATGAACATCTTTTCCTATAAATATCTTCCCCAGAAGATTTAATGGTGTTTTTTGTTTCATTTTGCTTTGTCCTCAGAAAAAGTCCGGTGAGTCTGTCACAGTCTCTCCATTTCCAAGTGTCAGAATGTACCCTCAAGCTGAGTGACAGCCTCCTCCCTCTAGGGTTTCTCCAGTTAGTTTAAGGGATGACAAAAAATTTCCCCAAAAAAAGCGAGAAGAAGGGAAGAGAGTATTACCAAATCAAATAAATAACTTTTAAGAATGGGGCCCCATTGCCTCATCCCTGAGAAAAAGAAGAGCCCTGCCTCTGACTAGCCGGCTCTTTCTCCTGGGTGTTAGGTAAGCGTACCTCACTTCACACACAGGTTCGAGGAAATGCCCTTCCACCTAGTCCAAATGAAGTGCGACTCCCACACAACCCCTGGATCTTGGCTGGTCTCCAACTCAGCATTTCCTTCCCCAGCTAGCCAAGACTGGCAAGATCTCTCGCCTTCCCCCGGCCTCTTTTCCCCGACACCCTTTACCAAGTCCAGGCTGCCTCCAGACTTGGGTGCTGAATTTTAGGGCCAGGGTGGTCAGCCACTGGCAGAGTTTCATTTTGTTTTTACAGCATAAATGATATAAAACCTGACTCACTGGCTAAGTCCTCCTGTTTACGACATAGGGATTTAGCTGGTATTTTAACTAATAGCTACGTGTTTGGGCATCCCAAGCCCAATCTCTTGGGGTTACGCCCTCTCTCCTTGTTGGATCACTTTGTACACCTGTTGTTGTCTCTGAAAACAAACTGAACCAAAGAGGTTTGGGAGTGTTGGCCCCTCAAAAAGCTTCTCCCTCCTCCCAGGGTGGACCTTCTTCTCCACCCTTTAGTTGAGTGTTTCTGAACTGGCAACACAAGAATGTCTGGATGGTCAAGGAGGAATTATCAAGTTCTTTGAGACTTATCAAGTTCTTTGAGGACACGCTGGGTCCGCCACTGGGGCTATCTGTAAGGTCAGGGGACACATTATCCTTTTAGCCAGAGGCTGTGTTGGTCCGTAGGGCTAGGCCCATAAATCACAAACCATCCAGGTACCCCATCCTCATCAATGCAGAGGAGGGCAGGGCCAGGAAGGCCTAATTAATACACTGAGCAGCTATTGCTTTTTTTTCCTTTAATAATGGTAGACCAGCCCCCTTATAAAAGGTAAATAACTGCATGAGCTGCCAAGTGACTCACAAATCACCCCCAGGTCAAATTCTGCCCTTGGTGACTGGCACGCAACCCGCAGGGAAGCCTGGGACAAACTTGGTCAGCCCACATGGCTCCCAATATCCCTGACGTGGACACAGGGTGTGGCCTGGGAGCAGTGGCACCAGTAGTTTTACCACAGCTCTGGACTCTAAGGGATAGCCTCCAGTAGAGAGATGTGGGAAGGAAGAAAGGGAACAGAGCGAGTGTCAAAACTATGGGACGATAGACTCTGCTCAGAGCAGAGTAGCATCTTCAATACGAAAACGTCCTAAGGCAGAAGCTGGGTTTCACAGCTGCCTTTAGACATCTCTACAGGAGCCTCACAAGGCTCCAAAAACTACACTGACTAGACCACCAAATCAGCATCTCCTGCTTTATGAAACACACGCCCGTCAGGGGAGGTGGGGGACAAAAGGAGACACTGTCCTCTTCTCTTGCTCTGCTTTCCAAACTTGGCAAACCCAATCCCTTCCCTCTTTGCTGGTGAGGAGGCTCACGCTAGATTCTGCATTTCTGCGGCTATGGGCTGGGCAGGCTGGGCTGGGAGTCCAGTGATGCCCTGACAGTGGTAGAAAGTAGAGAAGTTTGAGCTCACCATCCCACTATACATCAGAAGGAGTTGAGGGTCAACAGTCCCCAGGATGAGGGCAGCCCACGGGAGCCACACGGGGAAGGGGCCTCCACGGGTTTCTTGCCAAAACCTGCTGCCATGCTCTGTCTTCCACCCTGAATTGCCCCCACCCCTGCCCCAGGACTTTGCCTAGCCAAATGGGCTCCCTGCCTCTCTCACCACTCACCATTTTGTTCAGTCTTGACAATGACATTGTGTGTGGACTGGAATAGGTCACTGCTGCACTGACCTGTCAAGGACACATGGAGAAAGTCAGAGCCCAGAGGGAGCCAAAACTTCACGCTTCGATAAGAAAGGAGCTGGCTTCTGTGACAAGTGAGCTTCTGCTGTCTTGCTGCCCCCTCAGCTATATTTGCTTATGAGAGAATGCTTCCTTCTCAGCTTCTACACGTTCAAACCTGGAGATGTCCCTGACCTCAGAAAAGTCAGAAGTCTATAGTGTCCCCATCAGCTGGAATTATTTGGCATTGCAGGGGAAGGAATCTACCATGATGGACATAGAACTTCAGAAATCAGAGAAGCAGTTTTCCTATTACTAGCCACAAGGCATTCATCTTTCTGAGTCTCCATTTCCTCATCTGTAAACGTAGGAGGTTAAAGTAGATAGAATCACTAAGCAACTTCTACATGCTTTCACATATCAAGATATGAAATAAAAACAAAACTACAGGGAAAACAATTTTAACTAGCTCGATTATTCTTTGATTTTAAATTTGATCAAGTCTACTTCCATTAGATCCAATATATGAGGTACATCTGGATAAAATGCAGTAAGTCTTCCCTTATTTATGACTGCAACACTGTAATAAATGGTACACACCACACCCCATATCTGTGTTTGCTTACAAACACAGGTTGTATCATATAAAAGCACGTATGTATATGAATGAATCAAGAACTTTTTTTCCCTCCCAGAGAGATTATATCTATTTCCGGAGTGGAAGTCATGCCTCTAACCTCTCTGACCTTCAGGTTTCCCATCTGTAAAAATGGACACAATATTTATTTTGTCATAAGGTCATTCAATAACTCAATTCCCCTAGAACACCCAATATTAGTAAATAGTAAATAAAAGTTAATAGAATGTCTACCAAAAAAAGTAAACAATAAAACTATGAAGCACTCAGAGGCCATGATGGCACACAGCGAGAGCAAACAAGTCACGGGAGGTCAAATATGGAAGGTCGAAGATGGCCACAGCACCTCCCAGACCTCCCTGCCTCAGGCTTCAGTCACAGCAAAGGTGTAAAGGAGTGGATTTAATTGGAGGTAGGGAGGTAAATATTTTTAATTCTTCAGATATAAGTCGGCTCTTTCTAAAGACTCCTGGGAGTTATTTATAGGGCCTGTTTGGTTCTTGTAAATGAAAAATGAGCAACCAAGGCTGTGAGGTGGGTGGGGAAAAGGGAGTGCCAGGGTGCTGGATGAGGTCATCCAAAATGGCCGCCCCACTGCCAGCTTCACAGCCAGACTCCTGGGTTCTCCTCAGTGTTGAGCACAGCTGTCAGGGTCTGACTCCTGTATAGCCTTGGAACTCACATTTCCTCATCCGTATTCACTCAGTCAAACACTGCTTCTGCTAAGACCCAAATGTTCTTTCCAATGTGGCTGCACCAGCGCACTGCCCTGAAGACCTCCTCCTTTCTAAGATGTCCACAGTTCTGAGAGGAGCTAATTTTACATCCACTATCAGAGAAACCTTACGTCAGTGTCCAAGGCATTCTATGAGATGAGTTGTCTTCCCTACAGGGTTTTATGAAGTAGTGTAAATGTGTATGTGTGTTAATAAACTACCACCAATGGACGATCCTTGGAATGGTGGCTATCTGGGTGTTAGGTGAGGCCGGAAGAGAGACACTAGAAGCTTTAGGGAAAACCTTGAGGTTTTAGAGCAATGTCAGTTCCAGAAAACACCACACCACACAAACAACTGCACAAGTCCAGACCTTAAGAACCTACATCTAAAAAAGTAGTCATGATAGTCTTTAACAAGCAAATGATTGGAAATTAAACTACTGAATGGTTGGCAAAGGTGTTTGTTTGTTTGTTTGTTTGTTTTTTAAAGTTGACTGGAGTAGCAAGTATCCTGTGAATAACTCAGTCAGCCCTTTGTCTCCCTGGAAATGAACACAGCCAGAAGAGAGAACTGAGTTACACTGGCATCCCTAAGAGATCAGACACACTGCGTCCCCCAGGCTCTGTCTTGTCACCTGTGTTCTACTTCCCTGTCTTGGGAAATGGTCATTTGGAGATGAGACCATCCTTTGTTGTCCCTGATAAAGAACCCAGCCAGCTGCAGATCCCCAAGCTTGCCTGCCACCACCTAGCAGGACAGAGAGAGGGGCAGTCACCATTCCACTTGAGATGCTGCAAGTTGCTGTAGAGCAGCTGCCCCGCCGTGCCTGCTGCCCGCGTGAACTCCTGCAGACTCATGCTGCACAGATGCTCGCCGTTGACGTCAAACTCCTGGAAAGGGATGCAGCTGGCATCCAGCTGGTTGGTGTCCAGGAGGTGCTGCAGCCACTCCCACACCTGATACTTGGTCCAGTACTGGGGGTGGATTTCATGCCACTGTCCTCCAAAAACCCCGCTGGAAACTGCAAAGCAGGAGGCAACACTGTGAGTGATCTCTGGTTGTGGCTAGGCATAAGTCTCACCCTCAGGCTGCTTTGCTGGACCCTGGATGTCAGAAGGAACAGAGCTCCAGCCCCTGAGCATCAGCCTGGGGGTTGGACCAGGAGATGGGCTCTGGGAAGTGTGGTTCTTTTCCCCACCATGGCACTGAACCTCTGCGCCTTTACATTCTTCCTTCTGTGATGCTCCTCCCCACACTCTGAGGGCTTGGAGCTGACATTTGCATCACCCTCAAGCCTCACAAAAACTAAAGCACTGCTACAGTTTCAGTAACTTATTGGCTTATTATCCATACCCAAATACAATGGTCCCTTGGTCTCCATGGGGTATAGTTTCAGGATCCCTTGTGGATAGTAAAATCCTGAGATGCTCAAATCCCTTACATAAAATGGCATGGCGTTTGCCTACAATCAACAAATATCCTCGCATATATTTTAAATCATCCCTAGATATTTTACAACCCCTAATACAATGAAAGTGCTACATAAATAATTGTTGTGCTGTATTATTTAGGGAATAAAGACAAGAAAAGGTCTGGACAAGTTCAGTACAGACACTGAAATTATGTATAAAATTGGCAATCCAGGTATTGATACTTTTTGCTAACTATTAGTGGCGCATGACTCGTCTTCTGTGCTGCTCTTTCAGTGCATTTGTATTCAGTCTCTTATTCCCTTTGAATTCCTACCTATCTTTCAAATTTTGACCACCTGTAAAGCTATCACTTACTTGCAGGGCTCCCTGTCCTTTGACTCTCCAGGAGTTGCTTGGGATTTCTCCTGATGGCCCCTGTCATATATCCTGCTTTTCTTTACAGGTCTCTGAGTACTGTCTTATTCTCCTCTGTGAACTGTAGGCTCAAGGTCATAAGACATTTTCACATGTCCTATTGAATGACCTCAGAGACCTTGCCATAGTAGATGCTCACTGTATGTTTGCTGAAGAAGAAATAATGCAGAAACAGAAAAGCATTGTGAGATAAGACAATGCTTATTCAAATGCTAGTGAAGAAGTGAAGTTCACTCAAGCAGGTAACTTGAGACTATTATGCGCTAACCATCTCTGCATGAACTCTTTCTTAGCTAACAGCATATCATATGATTAGTCCAAAGTCACATGGAGATGGGAGGGGGCACCAGAGAAGAGACAGCCAGTCTCTGGGGACATGGTATAGTCCCCTCAGAAGAGGTGTCAAGAGGAAGAGCTCTGCTCCAAGGATGATAAGCGGATTCTATTGTATCCGACCAAGAGGAAGCAGGTGAAATCCAACTGAATATGTCACCAACTCAAGATATGGACCGGAAGAGGATAAGGTATTTGCAGAGCAACTACCTGTAACTGCTCAAAGCCATGCTAGATCACTACTTCCCAATGTTTATACGATCATAAGCCACAGGGAAATGCTGTTCAAATGCGAATCCCAATTCAGTGGGTCTGGGGTGAGGCCAGAGTATCTGCAGCCCTAAAATCCTTCCCACAATGCTGAGCCCATTGAGCTGTGGAGTGACAGGATGATTCAGGGCTCTGAAAGTCCCAATTCCCTCAGCACCCATGGCCTTGTCCTCAACACTGAATTATTCAGTCTTTGATCCTTTTTTACCCTATGTATTGATACAATGACAAAGTTCTAATTTTGACAACAGGAGACAACACCTTTCCATAACCCCACAACAGACCTGGAATAATCTCTTCTGGAAACTTAATATGATCTAGATTAAAGAATAGTTTCTGATATTGTGTCCTGTTCAGACTTGGCAGAAGCAGAGAATTTTGTCTGAAGTTGACTGGGGAAAGATATCTTACAGGCAGAGAACTCGTCAAAATGCCGAAGTTTCAAGAGAAACACTGAAAATCTTGTGAATTCTGATCTTCTCTGTTATTCAGCTGACCTCCCTTTCCTAATCTTGATAAAAAGCTGGCCTTCTCTGGGACCTTTATAACTTAAGAAATAAAATTGACATCCAAATTCCACTTCCTGCTAAGTAAATTGCTCCAGTTTTTTCCAAAACAAACAAAAAGAATGCTGCCTTCTCATCAAAGGCCCCAGGACCTGTGGCTGCTCAAAACTCCCTATTCTACTTAGAAGCTTCCTTCAACATACAACATAACTGCCCAGAAAGGGCAACAGTCTGGTAGGACAGGTGATCAAATAAGGGAAAGCCACTTGTTCACATTTTCTACCTGTTTGGCTGAGATTCCAAATTAAAAGAGGTGCTCAAGATGTAATATGTACCTATAGCGATTCCCCACAATGACTGCATTTATTACGTATTGCAAACGTATAGTAATAAAAAAGAAAAAACAACAAATTAAAAGAGGTGGAGCTGCACATGGATCAGCCACTCGTGGGAGAATGTCACCCTCCATCACCCTCCCACTCCTACTTCTCAGACTGTGCTTCCCACTCAGCCAGGTCCTTGTTTCAAGACAAACGAGCCACAGTCTCTGGCTGGGAGATTAGCAGTGGCTGTGGGTGGGAGAAGGCCCAGAAGCTTCTTAAGCCCAGCGCCGTTGGGTGCCCAGCAGCCTGTCTGCACTGCAGCCTTCACTGAGGCGGGTGGGGCATCTGGTTCAGCAACAGCTTTATCCCACAGTAAGCCACAGGCTTGTTCACCCAAGCCCGACCACCAGGCTCTCCCCCTATGAATCAATAAATTCTACAGATTCAAGCGTTCAAGGAGAGTGCCTGGTCTCCCGACCAACTTGTGTCCTCTTACACAGGGAGGTCACTGGAAGAGGAACTAGAGAGATTAAGCTGCTGTTACCCTCCATGTTTGTGATAGATACAAACACAAATACACACACACACACACACACACACACACACAAACACACAGAGTTTCTCCTGTCCTATTTTGCAATATGCCAGCAAAATGCTGTTGAAAGCTTCAACAGGAAGGCTTCATTTTGGGTGTCTCTTCTACCATCTTCACTGCCCAGGTGCCAACCTGGAACCTTGCGTTTCAGCTGAACACAGTACAATATCTCAAGTGGATTCTGTCTGGTGCCCTTGGGGCCTCTGGAGAGCCCTAGTACTAAGAGTTCTCAGGGCTGGGCATGTAGCTCAGTGGTCGAGCTTGTATTTAGTGTGCACAGCATCCTAGGTTCTATCTCCAGCACTGCGAAAACAAAAACAAAAGATGTTTGCTTCATTGTGTCCGGTGGTCAGTGTCCTTTGCTGAGTACAAGCTGTAGTTTTCAAATGTCAGGTTGAGAGAGGAATTGCAGCAAAGGAAGAATGCCCGTGGGCAATGAGATGCACGCCTGCCCGACCCTTACCATTGCACGTGGGGTAGCTGTCTGTCCAGGTCGGCTGGTGGTGGAGGAGGCTGCTGCTGGGATTGAGATTCATTACACCACTTCCTTCCAGAATCATGATCTGCAAGGGACCAAAGAGCCGGTTCAGTCAGTGCTTCTTGGACAAACGTCAGTGGAGAACACAGACCATACCTTTCATTTCAAAAGACAGAAAGAGAGAGAATGTGTCCAGCCTCCCATTCCCACCGCGCTTTCAGTAAAAGCAAAACTCACAGCAATTAAAAATTTCCAGGTTTAATTTTCATATGCATGAGGCAAGTTTTTACAGCCACCCATTCATAAATGAATAAACTCTGATCGGGAATGAAGCAGAAGGAAAATGCTATACCTGCTCCCAGGGCAACTCTGGCTGGTATCCAAGGGTGTGTGTGCGTGTGTGTATGTGTGTGTGTGTGTGTGTGTGTGAGCACGTGTGTGTGTGCGTGTGTTCACAAAGGTGAAAATGCAAAAGAAATTTTATTTAAAGTGGAATTTCAATCAATGAAATTTCAGACCCAGCCCCTTTGCAGGATCTCTGACTGAAATTAGAGCTCACGTGTCCCCCACACCCAAGGCCCCCACCTGAGGACCCAGTGATGTGTCCTGAGTGAAGAAGATACCTACCAGAGGGTACACTGGGAGGTCGAGAGTTTCAGTTGTATTTTAGCCGAGCTCCTTAATTATTTGTCTTTGTGATAATGACAGAAATCATTTGGTTCCTCTGACAGGCACTGCCCCCTTTCTGATAAAGAGAATTACATTTTTCCTTTCTGGTAAAAGTTATGAGTAGCTTTTCCTCCCCATGACAGACTTGGAGGACTCAGTGGCTTTAATTAAAGCTGACGGCAAAGAGACTTGCTCGGTCTGTGGGGTCATTTTCTCAGTGAGAGGACCTAAGAGCAAAGCTTTCTTCCATGGCCTGTCAGCTCTTGCTAAAGAATGTAAAAATGTTGCACCTTTGACCTTCCATCATCCAGCATTTAGGACAGTGCCTAGCCTCGTGCTGGGCACACTTCACACTGCAGCCCCAAGACCCAGGGTGTGAGCGATTATTCAGAGGAAGAGCAGGCAGTTTCTGCAAGGTTACTGAGCACTACCCAGAGGCTGTATAGAAAATGTATTCGTTTATTCCACAAATATTTATAAGCCCAGTATAGGGCTGGGCAGTGTTCTAGGTTCCAGGGATACAGCAGCGATTAAAGGCTGAGCTAAGCTGCAAACAAATATGTATAATGATTAGCATCATCATCACTGTTGCTTGGTAAATAATCAGGCTCTGATCCAGCCAAGGAAGGTGGAGAAGGAAAGACAGACTCGGCACAATGGGCAGGGTAATGATGTGTGGACCCCCAGGGGAAGACAGGAGAGCTGGTTTTGTGACCCATGCCCTGTATGAGGGCTCTGCATCCTGAACAGGGAAGGTTGATTGCAACTTCTCCAGCATCATAGCTCAAGTTCATATTAACTGGCACAAGTTACTTAACCTCCTAGACCCCGGTTTCCTCATACACAAAAAGCAAATAATCCTATCTAGCCTGGATATCAGTGGGAAATCAAATGGGTCTCTACATCTCAAGCACTTGGTACAGAGTAGAGCACGATTATGAAGGACGCGAGTTATGATGAAGAAATTTGTCTCCTTTCTGGATAACTTGAACCAGAAACAAGGGCCTCAGTTTCCCCATCTGAAAATTTAAAGAAGGTAACTATGATGGTTCTTAAGTTTCCTTCTGCAAGCTATTTTGATTCTCACCTTTGGAGAAGAAAAGTCAACTCAGGTCAAACTGTCCACTCTCTTTCAATTTTACAATAACTAAGCACTTCCCATTTCATTTTCTAGCGCAATCACACTAAAGCTAAGAAATCAGTCTGAAGACTTGGAGGCAAGAAAACCTCCAAGTCTCCAGGAGGCTTGGCAGGGAGAGGAGGACACCACCGGGTCTGGGCTCTTGTTTGCTCAAGGCTCGGCTTCTTCCTGAGCAGCCTTCGCTCACCCACAAGCCATGGAAAGGTTACTGTTTAACCCTGAGAGAAAGGGCGGGAGCTCAGAGCCCAACCCACCTTGGGGGAGCGCAGGCCTCCAGTTGGGGAAGAGGCCAGGAAAGGCTCACCTCAACTTCTCCCTCAAGGACTGGCCTGCAGGCTCTTTCACAGTGGCCATTTCAGTGGGATCAAGACGTGGCTGGCCACCCCTGAGCTAGCCCCTCAAGAAGCTCAAGGATTTGATTGGCTGCTTCCTAACTACAGGGAAGTGGGGGCCTCCCAGCTTTTGAAATGGGGATATGTGGGCTTGGATTCCAGTTCCCCCACCCTTTGTGGATGACCTTGAGATCCAAATCTGTCTAGTCAGCAACTTCCTAAGCCTCACTTCCCCCAGGTGTAAAATGGGAACAAGACCAAACCAGAGTGAGATTCTCATGCATTTATGTGTGTAGAGAAATTAGCAAGGGATACCAAAAAAAAAAAAAAAAATTATAGATGTCTCAGGCTAAGTCTCAGTTCCTTTCCAGAAGAACCCAGAACTATTCCCATCTCACAGAGAAGCCTTTAGGACTGCGGGGTCACAGCTTTCCCCTCCCCCAAACGTCCTGATCTGAGATGCCGAGCTTTGTACCCACTTTCCAAGAGAAAGCAGCCGGCATGGTGAGGGCCCCCTTTTACAGGGCATATTAAATGGTTACCACTCATAAAAGAGTTTATGTGGCTTAACCCTTAGTGAGTCAGAGTTCACTGGTGCTCACCCAGGCTTGTGAGCAGAGGGTCAGGGACTCAGACCCCACAGAAAGCTGCAGGGAGAGTGCCTTCCTGGGGCTGGCTATCGGCAAAGCCTCTGGCCACATCCTACCCCACTCCAAGGGCCAGATTTTCAGGAATAAAATGAAGGCATTTTCCTCCACCAGCCTCCCAGGACGGTTGAGGAGATCAAATGAGATGATGGATAATAAAAGGGCCTCAAGAACTGTAAAAAAGCCCTATTATATCCAACACCCCTACACCCCCATACACTGATCTGGACTTTCCGTGGTATATAGTGATTACTTTATACGGTATAAAAAGCAATCATTTAATTAAAAAGTAGGAGGACCATTAATGCTCTATTTTCAGCTCCCTTCTTCACTGTAGCTATCCTTATTTCCTTAAAAAAAAAAAATGTATCACGTCTGTGAAACAGGGCCTTGGAATCAAAGGTCCCAGCTAGATTCCAGGTCCCATCGTTTTTCAGCCATATGAGCTTGAGTGTTAACCTCTCTGAGGCTCATTTTTCTTCACTGGTTTAAATAGGGCGGGACTGGAAGGTGGGTTCCAGTGATTTCCCCTAAGCCTAAGAGATATTTTGAAGAGTAAATCCTACAGTGGGTTTAAAAGTGTCTGGTCCAGTGACGGACACACAAGCCCCCCCCCCTTTCCTTTAACAGCAATTCTAGAGAAGAATCTTTAACACATTTTACTTCTTGCAGGACCGCAACCTTAGTTCAGAACATAAGGAGGGACTATTCCAATCTATGTGCCGAAAGCAAGCTGGAAACGGCCTCATTTCTCTCCATCTCCAGCTTCTACAGGAATGGAGGGAATAGGAAGAAAAGAGGAAGAGAGCCGCAGCCATACTAGGTGTTGTTAAAAGGAGGGTTTTGCAATATCCCCTCATCTGAAATCTGGGGCTGAATAATTCTCTTTGAATTTTTTTAAATTGGCACATAATTTGTATACATATTCATGAGATGCAGTAGATTAATTCAATAAATGTGTATGATGCACAATGAACAAATCAGAAGAATTAGTATTTCTCTTTTCAAATATGCATTATGTTTATACATGGACAAAGTTTGAGCTCTTCTAGTTATTTTGAAATAGAGCTTGCTATAGACTATGGCTAATCTGTTGTGCTTTAAAATACTAGAACTAATTCTACCCTAACTAACTGCATATTTGCTACTTGTTGTCCAACCATTTACCCTCCCTCTGCCCACCTTCCTCCCTCTCCAGGGGACATCTGCTCGCTACTTCTGAGGGGTCAACGTTTCTAATTTCTCAAAATGAGTGAGAACATGCAGTATCAGTTGTCCTGTACCTGATTTACATCACTTAACACGATGTCCTCCAGTTCCACCCACTTTGCCACAAATGAGAGGATTTCACTTCTTTTAATGGCTGATCATTATCCCTCATGTGTGCACCCCACATTTTCTTTATCCACTCACTCGTGGGTGGCCACTGGCTGAGAACCTGTTTGCTGGCTGGTGTAAGTGGAGCAGCAATAACCATGGGCAGAGGTGGGGTTGGAGAAGTCTCTCCTCTGGGGCCGCCTTGAGTGCATCACCGGAAATTCAGCAGTATCTTTATCCCTCCCCGCAAATGTCTCCTGGAGCCAAATCACCTCTGGTTGAGATCAGTGGCCCACGACAAAGCCTGTGGCGGCAGACAGCTTGGGCTTTGCTGCTTCGCTGATGTGGCAACCTTGGCCTGTCCCTTAGACTTTCTAAGCTGCCATTTCCTCTCCTGGATAGCAGACAGCATGAGTCCCCACCACCTAGGCTGACTGAGGATTAAATAGGATAGGGACCTCAGAGCCCACTGCAGCACAAAGAGAGCACCTGGCACAAACAGAGCAATTGCCTAATCAATGGAGGTTTAAGAGAATGCACTGTGTATGGAGCCATCTAAGGCCCAGGTCTTAGGTGTGTATCGTGGAAATATAGTATGAATTATTACTTGCAATACTAAAAACCGAACACATACCAAGAAAAACACTTAATTTTATTTCAGACCCAAATATTCAGGGATTTCTTCATAGATACTCTCAGATGCCCATCGTGGGTAGGAACAATCAGAGGGAAGAGTATTTGACTCTATAGCCCTATTGATGGGTTAGACTTTCACATTCACCCCAAATTTCACCTCTCTGTGCAAAGCTCATAAAAATAACTTGGGGGACAGAAGTCTGCACCTTATTTGAAGAGAAGAAGCAAGGCATACTACCCCAAAGACTAAAGCACAGATAAGCAGCGTGTGCCAGGCCTCCAGGCAATACCTGTTCCACCGTGGGCAGCGACTCCCCTGAGCCATCAGCACCCCTAGGGGGCC